TATATTATAATTCTTACTATATTGCTAAATTATCTCTAATACTGATAATTGTGTTAGACCTAAAACATGTGATCCTTAAGTGGCCAATTTCATTATAGATCTTTACCATTTAATTTCAAGTTATGCCCTCTCAGAGTATAAAGATTTTTTATTATATTTGAGATAACTGTGCTTATAATAATTATAATAATTATATTACTTATAATAATTATAATAATTATATTGCTTATATTGATTATAATAATTATAATCAATACAAGCATTATAATTATTATAATTATTATAATAATTATTAACATTTTAAAAATAAATAGTAAATTAGTTATAAATAATATATAGTTTCACTTAAGTAATAAAGTGAATTCCTCTGTCTTACAAACTATAAATTAAGTGTTTATCTACAAGTGACTATAAAGAACTATTGTTAAAGAATAAATCTAACTTATAATAGTAGTAAATCTCAACTTGATTGCTTAGTAATTTTTAATGTAGTATAGAAAATTGCAGTTTTAAATTAGTAGAATAATAGTTTTAATATAGTGTAGACTATTCAGGATAAGTCAAACCAAATTGAAATTGCTTATTAAATCTATATATCTCTTTTAATTAAAAGTCATCTAATTATTATATAAAGCCAACCTTTGATTAATGACAGACTGCTAATTTAGGAACTCTCAATAGACAAAAAGATCTAAATACTAATTTATATTTTTAGAATGCTTATTTTGTTTTATATAATTTATTTTTAAAACATTATTACTAGAGCCTTTATATTTCAATTTATAGCTACCTAGTTTCTAAGTCTTGTAAAGTTTATACAACTTTAATCTTATTTAATCTTATAAGTTCTCTTATATTACTAATTTAGTTAATTCTGCATAATGTAAGTTTATATTTAAATTAAATAATAATTAGATTAATAAATTTTTTATTTAAAAACTCTTATTTATATAGGTTACTAGTTTTAGGTTTTCTTTTTTATATCAAGATTTTTATAAATAATACTATTGAAACTTGTACTATTTCTTATTTTAAATTTTTAAATAATTATTTTTAAATATTAAAGTAAGTACTTGTGACTCAGGATTTATTAATAATATATTTAACTAAAAGTTATATTACTATTATAAAAGATAATTATGAAAAAATGTACAACTAGTTACTTGTATAACTTTAGTTATTGTCTAATTTAAATAGTTCACTTAAAGGTTTTACATTAGCTGTCTTATCTGAAACCTACTTGTAATTTCTTTATTTAAACACTCTAGTTTTTGTATCCATCTGTTTACTTTTACATATCAATAATCCTAATCAATACTGCTAAAAATATATTATGATTATTAAGTCTTCAAAGCAATTTACTTATATAGAAAACCTTTGATCTTATATTAAACTTTTCAAAATCTTCTGAATCCTATTTTTACAACTTATACAATAATGCTATAGTCAAAACTACACTTACAGTTTGAATGTATTATTAAACTGTTATGCTTTTATAGATTTTACCCAAACCTTAGTATATAATTTATAACATATCTCTATTACTTTGGTATTTAATTCAAGTTCTACCAAACTTCTAGTTTAGATAACTCAGAAAGATAAATATTTCTGATTTATATATTCTTTAGCATATAACCTTTTTTTTAGAACAAATTCTAGTGATCTGACTAGTTACAATAACCTTTTCTTAAAAGTTATATATTTATTTGTTTTACAAGTCTAACTTTATTTTATAGGTTTAGTTTTTATAATAGCATCATTGGAAGTTCAAGATACTTCTCTATTTAGATCTTCCAAGTAGGCTTTCATCTTTCTGATTTCTGTGATTTATATGGTCATAAAAACTTATCATGAATTTACATTATATAATACCAGTTCATGTTTCTTTGTACAAAGTACAACTATTACACAAATACTATATAACCTTTCAGTTATACTAATATGATATAAGTAACAGGTATCTAATTTCAACCAATAGCAAAGGACAATTAATTATAATACAGAAAGAATCTTAAATTTTCTTTAACACTGAGATTTAAACTCTAGACCTACCACTTGAAAATTGACAATATAACTACTTTACTATGTTGTCATGTTCTAAAAACTTAATATAATCAAAATTATAGAATTTACAAACTTTATATATCTTCTTGATAATTATCCTTTTGACAATTTTTATTAGTATTTAAGTCAAGTTTAGACTGACATTTTTTTTGTATTTTCTTTACTTTTGACATTTCAGATTGTTTTGTATAAACAAATTTTTACAATTTCAGTTGATTTACATAATAAGTCACTTGAATGTATACTTTAAATAATCCCTATACTTGATATCTGTTAAACTGATCTGATACCAAAACTGAAGTCAACTATTGTAATTAAGATATAATTTCAATATGGTATTACCATATTATAAAAATAAATCATACTATACTCAAGGTACTAAAACTGTTATATTGAACATTTTATTGTCATATATAATTTTATAATATTGATTTCATTTTATAGAAAATTTTTTTTTTTGATTTTTACCTTTCTCTGCTATCCATAAGGTTCTTAAATATCTTAGGATCTTTCACTTCTATTAAGACCAAAGTCATTATTTAGCAGAGATCAATAGATGACTGATGACCTCTATATTATTTGGTCCCTGTGAGTTAACAAACTTCATTGCTGCATATGTCATCTGTGATGTTCTCCAGCCCTTCTGTGCCATATGAAGGTAAGTCTATCACCTTAGTGATATTCTGAACCTCTGATTCTGTGGTGTAAGACCCTGATGAGGTTCACAGTTTCCTTTTTTTTTTTTTTTTTTTTCAGGTTTAAAGAGTGATGTCTATGGCTCGTGATCTTTTATTAAGACTTACAACCTACAAATATTGTAAGAGGGTATTATATTTTGCATATCAATGAGGCTACAATTAGCCACTCGTACAACTTTAGTCATTGTCTATTTAAAAGTTCTGCCTACAGGTTACCTACTAATTGCTATACCTGAAACCCGCCTATGGGTTCCCTATTTAAAGTCTCTGATTTTCAATGTTTTTTCTGTAGTACCAACTTAATTTTTTAATAATGGACCTTAAGGTTACTTTACCCTTGACACAAACTCTACCGAATGGAAGTAGGTCCCACAACTACATCTATTTGGATTTATGATGCCAGAGGTGATTCCATATTAGGTAAGGCCAATCCTTTCCACAAACATTGATGACATTCTTCACATTTCTCACTATAGTAGTGTTGGCGCTCTGCCATACCAGTTTCCTTCTGGGAATTCCTTAGATCAAACATGTACCTTCACTTGGACTTTCACAGGACTTCGCATCTGATTATAGGTTCCATTTTTGGTTATAGAGTATTTTTACCTCCAGCCAGACTCGAATCGTTGACCTTGTCTGTGAGGGGATGAGAGCTTAACAAATAAGCTATGGGACCCAACCCCATGGTTCACAGTTTCCTTTCTTATTTTGTTAATGTCTCTACTATATTTGATCCTTTTTAAGCTGGGTTTACTCAATTTTAGCATCTTTTGTTGATGGATTACACCTTATCTGGTTGTCCCAACCTTGTGGTTATGCTACGACTGTATTCGGTTGTATGGTCTTTGTTCTTCATCACGGGAATCCTCTCAACGATCATTTTTCAATAATGGTCCTAGCCGAGCCTTGTCCACCAGTTGGATTCGAACCCGCGACCTTGCAATTGTTACCCGGAAGCACTAACCACTGTGCTATCGACCCAAGGGTCATTATAGTAATTTTGACTAACACCATATTACAAAACATGGCATTTCACCAATAACCAACCAGAAATGTTTATATGGACGAATTAGTATGTCACTTTATCGTCATATATGACTTTATTAATATTGATCTCCGTTTATTAGTATTGACTACATCATTACACCACATTACACGAAACATGACATTTACTGCTAACCAATCAAAAACGTTTAAACGGACGAACTCTGAATTAGTTTATATAGATTTAGAACCCAGAATTATTATGTGTGTCAAATTAATTAATACATAAATTAATAAATAAATAAATTTATTAAATGTTTAACTTTATCAGTTTTTTTTCTTATTAATGTGTGAACCTTTGATCGCTTTTATTCATCAAAGAAAAACCGGGTTTACTAATTCCCCCCACAGCTCCTATTGGACGAGAAAAAATCCTACTTTTCGATTAAATAATGAAAATGTCGTTGAAACAGTATAAAGGTCTAATAGAACAAATATTATACTAAAATTTTGCAAGAAATTTTTTTGTTAGAACACAAAAGGTAGTTTTGTGACTAAAATTTTAAGCTACCGACGATTTTTGAAAAACTTTAAAAACTCAATTTTTTTTGAAAATATTATGTTACACCTGATCTTTTAATTTGATTGATAGAAGAAAGGTGGCGTAGAAGACATTGTCCAATTAGAGATGACATTTACAACTGTCCAATTAGAACCGTGGGGAGAGGATCTCAGAAAAAACATGGATCAAAATAAATAAAATTAATACTTAACTGTAATTCGACTTATATAACCCAAAATTTAAATATTGGGAAACATAATTTTAAAACTATTTACGGTGATGCAAATGAAGAACATTATACAGTTAAACGACTTGGAGACGCAAGCTTGTTCTATTGAAAAATTTTTATGCTTTAACGTGCTTTTTTTTGCATTTTTTATTAATTATGTGAATTTTTTATTATTTTTGATTTGGAGCATTAAACCATTTTGTCTAATTTAACATAATTTCTTTATGCTTTTTTCATACAAAAGAACTTTAATAATATAATTAATATTATTGATTGGGTTATATAATTTATCGTTTGTGTATATAATTTTAGATTTTTAAAAAATTCACCAATTGAGAAATGACCTAGGTCATTTCAAAATTCAAGAATGACCTAGGTCAATTCGGAATCGACCTCAATTGTGAAATGACTCAGAGCATATAGACTTCCATAAGTCTTGAATATACGAATTTCATGAAAAAAAATGTCGGAAGAACGACGTGAAAATAATCCACACGGACCACAAGATGATTCACAGAATCCAAAAGATGAAAAACTAAAAGATGAGAAACCAAAAGATAATGAAACAAAAGATAATGAACTAAAAGATGAAAGTTATGATAAAATTTTAGAGCAAAGGGTTATTAGAAAATGTGATTTTTATATGCTATGTATGTTTCATGTTTTATAAAATTAATTTTCTTGTTGAAATAATGTTATGATTTTACTCACATATAGGAATTACTTTAAATTAGCTATATTGACCATAGTATACCTGTTAGGCATCATCGATCGTGCTAACATAGGAAATGCCACTATAGCAGGATTTGATTACAAATTCCTGAATACCTTTCCTTCTGCTTTTAATTTCGCTATAGCAATATATTTCATCTCTTATATGTTATTAGAAATCCCTGCAAGCTTAATGACTAAATTTTAGGGTTTCCTGTTTGGTTATCAATATTAATGATGTGTTAGGCGGTTGCTTCTATGAGTCAAGCTGCATGTACAAACGTTGTCCAATTAGGAATAGTTAGATTTTTATTAAGTTGTATAATCAATGTTTATTTATTATATTATAATCATTTAAATCTTGTTAAATATTTTAAATATTTATTATTTCTTAAATTTATTAATACAGGAATGGATGAAGCTGGGTTTTCCCCATCTATAGTAGATATAGTAGAATATGTTGGTTTATTTTATGCTATGAAAGAATTAGCCTTAAGATATTCTATCTTCATGACTTTAATTTCCCTCGCTGGTGCATTTAGTGGGATCGCTGTAAGTTTAATTACTATCATATTTAATAAATCGTTAAATAATCATGGCTAGATTTTTAATTCATGTAATAATAATTATTAAATTTATATAGGCATTCTTCATAATTGGTTTTCAATGATTTTTATAATTGAAGGCATACCAACTCTCATTGCTGCCATAGTTGTTGCTTTATACATGACTCGTGATCCAGCTGATGCCTGTTTTCTCACACCCGAAGAACATAAATTCGCTATTGATCGTCTAAGACCTGAAGGTGGCCCTACTGATGTTGATCGTAGCACTGCAAAAGCTCAGATAAAACCCGCTTTTACTGATCTTAAAGTTTACGTTTATTTAATAATGTTAATACTTGCTTCCGTCCCATTTAATTCCCTTAATTTTTTCCTTCCAACCTTAATTAAATAACTTGGTTATACTAGTATACAAGCTCAGTTGATGGTCGGGGTACCTCTTGCTATTGGAACTATCTGGATGACCTTTAATTCTTGGGCATCTGATAGGTACCAGACGAGAGCCTTGAACTTAATAGCCGCTCATTTATTATCTATCACTTGTCTGATAGGATTATTAGTTACTGATTCCAAAAATCCTAGTTTACACACTTTAAGATTTTTTTTCACCATTACATTGACTTCAAGGTCTTACACTGTGTTACCTATAATTTTTATTTAATATATTTTATAGACTTTATTACTGAAACAATTATTAATAATCTTTATCTTTAATTTTTATTTTAGTAGGTCAATATAAACGCAACGTATTGTGATACCGGAATATCGTGATCGATCACGTGAAAAATACACGAAATGCAATAAGTTACATTTGTGATCGAGAACGGTACTTCGGATGCAGAGGGGTAGAGGGGACGGATGTAAGGATAAGTTACACATCCTTAAAGAAATAAAATAATGCTAGAGAAATTAAATAAGTAATTATAAATAAAATTAGATAGTCTTAAAGTAATAATAAGTGCGAAGTCGCATTTGTAAGCGACGAATTCAGTGATATAAATAAAGGCCGAAATGGCCCTTATGAGCAGTATGCTTCGTTTGTTTTATTAAATTAGAAGTCCCAATACATTATAACGTCTATAATAAAATACTAACACTATCCCAGTATAAACCCTGTAAACCCCTATAAACATCGTCGTTCGTTCAAGTTCTTGTTCATGTGACTTACCCTACTTGTATTCGTTGACCCAAAGTAACCGAAAGCCTTAATTACCCACCAGCCAAATCTAACACCCTCTTTCGAAAAGGTTACTTATCGTACGTTACACGACATTTTGAATT